GTATTTCTCTTTTAAATTTCAATTTCCCTGAAAGCGCTGGCTGAGGATAAGCAGCCATCTTTAGAGAGGAATCCAGCTGCCAGGCTTTAATAAATCTAAGCTGCATTACTTCCTCATCCAAAAAGCCAAAAACTGCTTCAGTTTTAATTTCCTCGGTATCACAGAACCACCAGCAGGTGGCAGTGTCAGCTGGTAGCCACAGAGTTTATGCAAAATGAAATTCCGTTTAGTGCAGCTTTTCAGACAGTAAATGAACTTTTCCATCCATAAAGTTCAGCAGTGATCAAATGTAAACAAATATGGAGCAAAAACGTTTTGATCTGGAAGTTCAGATCATTAATATATATTTGGTTTGGTTTTATCTCACCTCCATAATATTGCAACAGACACACATAAGTGATGCAGACAAACATCTTTTTCCATCTGAGCAAAACTTTCAGGAGGTGAAGAAAATACAGCAGAAAGCCTTTAGCTGCAGAGAGCGCTCTGCTGATCAGAGACAGATCATATCTCTGCAACATATCGTCTACTCAGTGGTTTTCTATGACATCCAGAATAGAATAATAATCTACCTACGATCAGAGATGTGATATTTCCATGGAACTGACAGAATACTGTGAAACTGATGCAGGTTTCCTGATGCTTGATGTTACATAAAGCTTATAGTCATGGTGGTTCAGGTTAGTTATGCTGCTAAACGCTTAGTGGCGGCCTGGTGGTTGGAACATGGGCCTTTGGATCCTGAGGTTGTGCGTTTGATCCCCCACTCCCACAGACTGCCACTCTGGGTCCCTGAGCAAGACCCTTAACCCCAGACAGCTCCCGGGCGCCACACAATGGCAGCCCTCTGCTCCCCAAGGGGGGGGTGTTAATAGGTTAAATGCAGAAAATTCATTTGGTTGCTCTGTGACAGTGGAATGACAATAAAGTTGAATTCTATTCTATTCTATTAGGCTGGTGGAAGATGGAGCGTTTTTTATTTTCTGTCAGATTCTATAAAAACAGCTTCAGTCTTGGATGTTCAGTGAAAGTTCCTCCTCAGTGTTGCTTCGTTCTCATCCTCAGCATCCAGTCTGCTGCAGGGCGGCCATTATTGGCTTCATCTGGTTCCATAGAAGGAGAACTTTAACCGATATTAAGAGTAATGAATTTAACTGCGTTGCTAAATAACTAGGATCAGTTTGCTGCTGTTTTTCACCATGAATCTCTACATAATGCTGCACATAGAAAGAATAGTTCCCTGAATTAAAGACTGAATAAAAAGGAGTTCATTTAGGAAATAGATTTAAACAGTGAAATGTCTGCATGGCTCCTTCTTTCAGTTCCAATTTATTCTGCAAATAAAAAGCAAACATTGCAGCCCGAACATCCAGCTGCACATTATGAGACCTTAAAAAACGTATTCATTATTTTATGCTAAATCTTTGTCAATATTTTGATAGTTGAGATAAACTATCAAAACAAGTTTCGCCTGTTTCTGTGTTTTTAAGGAGCAGTTAGTCTGATTAGTGAATTATCCTTCTAATGACTGCAGCTCACATGTTGATGCAACCAACAGATTCCAGAAGCTTCCAGAAAAGAGTTGGATTAAACAAATACTGCATCACAGATTTATGTTTAAACTATTAAACGTATTAACATCACTTATAGATCTAAAACACATAGAGTTTCTTTCAGCTTCATGTTCTAGTTTGGCTCAATGATATTCTTCATTAAATTAAACATAAATCGTATTCATTCTTTAAAGCCTAGGTCTTCAACAGGGGGTCCGCGACCCTTAGGGGGTCCTGGGAGGTACTGCATGGGGGTCACGAAAGTTTTGGTTGATTAGACTTTTTTTTATATTCCCCCTGCAATTATTTCCATTAATTGAAATGTTTTTAAATCCACATGAACATGAATCAACAGACTGTAGTAAACAGATAAATGGAGGCAGAAGATGTCTTTCAGTCATCAATGCTCACATTCAGAGACACACATCAAGCTGGGCACCGTTTCATTCACAACACCTGTCCCATCAACCAGGAATCAGAAATACTTTAATAATCCCAGGGAGGGATTACTTTAGTTACATTACTCCATCTGTAACAGAGTAACTATAGGACCAGTTTGATATAACACTATTTCATAATATATCTATTATCAGGGGGTCCCTGCTCCACCTCGCCATCAGTTGGGGGTCCTTGGCCTGGAAAACCTTGAAAATCCTTGCTTTAAAGTACTGAGAGTTTTGAAAGTGTAGATTTCTTTCTGCGTGAATCATTTCCAACTGCTTGGAACCAAAATGAAGAACAGAAAGTGCTGAACAGCAGCAAATAAAAGCTCCTGACTGCGATGATTTCTGTGATGAAGCAACATTAGTTACGTCTTACCAGAAACAAGTATTACTTATTAAACCACTTCCTGTTTTCAGATCAGATGGAGATATAATGGAAACTATTTGCTCTTTTAGATTGTGAGGATTTTAAAACACACAAAAAAACAAAAATAAAAACATTAAATGACCCCATATTTAAAAGCATGTAGGAGCATCAGGATCTTCTCTCTATGGGATTTACTCTTTCCTCTTTTCCTGTTTTTTTCTCATGGTTTTTTTTTTGTGCTACAAACCTTAATTTTTATATTTTCCAGGCAAACTGTTCAATCTATGACTTTAGTTAATGTCTCAGTTTCTGACGTTGAAATGAACGGAGTTCTCCAGGCGTCACATCCGTCCTACATCTGCTTCTGGGAAAAAGCAGGAACAAACGTTTTCTTTTAAAAAAATATATAAATAATTAATACCAGGAATATATTAATTCATATTTTATATGTTGTATATTTGTTCCCTAGTTATTAAATCAGGTCTTTATTTTCACAAGTTGGTAAAAAGTTGAGAAAACTTGAATCTTTACTGTTTGTAAAGAGCGGCTCGATTAGACTTTAGACGACTTTATGGGGATAATTTAGTTTATTTTTAATAATAATTCTAACAAACATTAAACCTTTTTTTCACCAACTGGAAAAAGTGAACTTATTCCCAAAAACGAGGCTGCAGTCAGAAAAGTCCAAAGGAAGATGTTATGGTAAAAGATAAAGACATCTGCCCGATTTTACATAAACAACAAACAAAAAATACACAAAAATAATAATAAGGAAATAAATGAAAGTTTGAAACGTCTGTGAGACTTTGGCCTCTTTGCTGCTTAGAAGCTTCCATCAGATTCAGAAGAAGTTAAAGCTGCAAATAATCTGGATTCATTTATAGTTTTTTATGGTTATAAAAAACAACAATAGCATCCAAAATGTTTGAAGCCAAGTTAAACTTACCAAGTTAAACTCACCAAGTTAAACTCACCAAGTTAAACTCACCAAAGCAGCAGAGCAGATATGATCTTGACAGAAGTTAAGACCTGAAAGAGTCACAGGAAACGTTCTGGGGCTTCTGAGAGTGGAGAGTTCACAGAGGGTTGGACTTCAGCCAACACTTTGCCTGTGTGTGTGTGTGTGTGTGAACATATGTCACATTCTGAGGGGCCCCTGCCCCTTTAGGGGCCCTCAGACCCTTGGCCCCATGGGAAAAGGTGCTGCTAGTTTGTAGACGAAGGTGTGAGTTAGTTTAGGGCCAAACATGCATAGGTGTGTGTGCCAGCTCCTGTTTTGGTATCAAAGTGAGGACATTTTTCTGCTCCTCTTTTCCTTTTTTTTGTCCACTATAGATCTGTGACGGTGGAATGACAATAAAAAAGTGGAAATATAACATTTTTGTGGCTTGATGTTCAGGAAAGCTGGAAGAAAAAGGCATCTTAAGGAAGATGTTGTGGAATCTGAGAGGAGCTTTGCAGGAGGTGAGATGTTCTCTATTAGAGTGGCTTCCTGACGGCTGCATACTGACCATGATCCCAGCGCCATGTCGCCATCATGGCCTGGATGAGTGAGGATCAGTGAGCAGACGAACTGCCTGTAGCCGGGACACATTGGCAGCCTGGGCGCGATGGTCAGAAAAATCTATTTCCTATCAAATCCCTTCACAGTATTCAGATGAGAGCTGATTGCATTTATTTTTATTTTATTGCCTTAAATGCAGATAAACAGGCAATTAGCATCACAAAGAGAAACAGGACAAAACAGACAAAAACTAATTGGGTCTAATTTGTCACCAGAGCAACACTGTAAGGTCTGTAGTACGGATCTTATCTAGTTCTGTTCTCCAGAAAAGGTTTAAAAGATTTAGAAAGAGATATAATATTAATAATAATAATAATAATTATTATTATTATAATAATAATAATAATAATAATTATTATTATTATTATTATTAAATGCAGAGAGGGAATTTCTCCAATGTGAGATTAAATAGTTATTATAATTATTTATAGATTTAATTGTGCATTTCATTTTAAAATCCAGTTTAGATCCTCAGATAAATGTTTCCTCCTGAAGGTTTTACCTGCAGTCAACATTCATCAGCAGGAAGAATGTAGCGCCCCCTGCCGGGCACGGCTCAACATGCGCCTCCTAACTTTGCTTCTTTCTTTCTTATTATTTCTACTCTTCGTCTTAGATTTAGAAAAATTGGTAAATAAATAAAGGGATAAATGAAAAATGGACAAATGAAAAATAGATAAAAAAGAAATTGAGAAATAGATCATCTGAAAAATAAATAAATAAAAAAAATTGGCTTAATGAAAAAGGGAAATTGAAAAGTGGTTAAATGAAAATTAGATTAATGAAAAATGGGTAAATGGATCAAGGGATAAATGACAAATAGATAAATGAAAAAGAGAAATTGGGAAATTGATAATATGAAAAATAAATAAATTAAAAATTGGTTTAATGAAAAAGCTAAATTATTTATTTAACACATTTTTTATTTATTTCACCCATTTATTTATTTATTTATTTATTTAATTTTGGCTGAAATGGCTCTCCATAGAAATGGCTCTCCATATGATTGAACCTAACAGGCCGCCACCATACAATAACATCACGTGTTCCCGAAGCCTAGAAGAGTTTCTGTCGTATCTGCAGCCGGCATGCTGGCAAGGGGCGCACCCTTAAAGATAACCCCGCCCACACATGTTGAGCCTCCTTATCTAACAGCAACAACCGGCATTTCAGACAAATTCAACCGACGCTTCAGTGAGACTGCAGCCATCACTGGACCACTGAGCAGGTAGGAGAGGAGGAGGAGGAGGAGAAAGGAGGAGGAGAGGAGGAGAAAGGAGGAGGAGAGGAGGAGAAAGGAGCTGCGGGGTTACTCTGCAGATGAAAGCTTGGGGCGGCTTTTATTCTTTCTATTTTGTTTCTTTTTTTCTGCTGTGATGTTGATTGAAGCCCAGAGATGAAAGGAGGCTGTTAACAGGAGGTGACGTCACCAAACTTTATTGACAATAACAATGTGAACAAACAGCCTTAAATAACAGTAGAGAGGAAGGTCATCCTGAAACAGAGCGTTAAATAATCTGTTCATGAAAATCATGTTAATGGCTTTCATTCATATTATTATTATTATTATTATTATTATTATTATTATTATTATTATTATTATTATTATGAATAAAAGCTGCTAATTTCCACCATCTTTCAGAGTTTGGTTCCTTCAGATGGAAACATCTGGAAAGAAAGAATAATTGATTCCAGGTAGAGAAAGTTTATTATGAAACCTGCTGCTGATCATAAAATGTTTTCTATCCTTCAGAAATAAATGAGTTGAAGATTTTTGACAGAAAATAAATGAACTTTAATCAGGAATGAATAATGTTAATTAATTAATGAATAATGCTCTAATGTTTTCACACGGATGGAAACTTTCTGTTTTCTCCTTCAACAGATAAATATTTGGAATAATTAGAAATGAAAGACAGTTTATGATCATCCCTCCATAAAAGGCCAAAAACAGCTGATCATGTTTGTTTGTTTTGTTCATTAAAATGTTGGATAATATTAGCTATTAGTTTAAATATTGTTTGTGGTGTTCATTATTTTATCTCAGAAACTGAATCCATTTAATCTGGACTTTTTAACCTTAATTGTTTAACTTTAGTTGGTTTTAGAGAAACTAATTGTCTTTTGTCTCAGAACAAAAGGATTTAGCCTCTTTGCTAATTCTTCTTTATATAAAACTGCTGCTGAGGAGCTTGAATCTTCATTTATCTTTAATAGTAGGAAAGTTGATCCTGTTGGTCTCATAGTCTCAGTATGGTTGGTCTTACTGGGATGCAGGGAGTACTGGGAGCACACCAGTTAAACTGCAGTGGTGGCATCAGAAGGGGAGACGGTTAAAGCAGTTTTCCTCTAATGGCGCCACAGTGGGGCGGCTTGGCATCAGATCTACGGTCTTTCATTGGTGGTGGATCAGTTTGGCACCAAGAGGCAAACCTCGGTGTGGAAACCAGACAGTAAGATGGACTGGATCCGTTAAGAAGACCGGAAGACCTGCATGGAAACCAGTTCTAAGGTTTACAGCGAGTCCTGCCAAGTCAGTGACTGGATGCAGTCTGGGGAGTTTCTCCGCTTCAGGCCCCCCCCCCCCACCCCCCGCAGCAGAGAAACATGTCAGCTGAAAGGCGTAAAGGTTTCAGTTATCAGTGAAGTGCAGACACAGGCTGACATCACAGGCCTGCTGCCTGCAGCAGCCTGATGGCTTTAGGGTTGACTTCCACCTGTCCTGCAGCAGGTGGGGCTTCCATTCCTCAGCTGTTAGTGCTCCGTCACGCTACAGGCCTTATATGGACTTCCTTCCTGCTTGCCTGACTGTGCCTCACAGCTCTGCTAACTTTTTCACCTCAGTTAGCTTCACAGACCCGTAAACGCCGCCTCCTCGCCATCTTCTAGATGGGACCGACGTTCACAGAAGGTTCTCTCTCTCCAGTATTGAAACCTGGTTGTTTCTCCTAAATTCCCACGGTGGGGAATCTTCAGAACAATAAAGGAAAAATCCTGCCTGACCGCTTCTCAACGTGTTCCTACATGTGCTGGACTTCGAAATGCTTCCCTCTTATATGAGCTTCCATGTTTGGAGCTGAATGCTTCAGGTCCTTCAGAGAACCAGTTCAACCTTCAGCTTTCTGATTCCAGTCAGTCAGCTCCTTCTATCCTCCTTCAGTTGGAGGAGTTTTAAATTAAAATGTCAGAATCAGCATTGAGTTCCAGGCTATTTCTGACATTTTGAACTGAACAATCTTCCTGGATGGGAAGAGAAACGTCTTCAAACCTGGAAACAAAGTCCAGTTGATTGTTTTATTAAACTTTTCTTGGAATGACTCTGGATGACTGGGAATCTTCTCCAGCATGAAGTGGGACCGTTTAGTTTCATATAGGGAAACATCTTTACCTCTCTGGGTTATTTTAATAATAGATCCTGGTTTCTTTCTTTAGACTCATTCATGTCTCATCAGGAGCTCCTCTTCTCTCTGGGATGTGACTCTGTGTCATCAAATAGTCGCTGACTCTTTATTTTAGCCCAAGCATGAGTCAGAGTTAAATCTTGGAACTAATAAAGTAAAATCTCTATATTTTTGTAAATCTTGTGAAGTTGAGTCTGAAGAAGCGGCTTTGTGGCGTCTGCTGGTTAAGAAGCTTTTCCAGTGGATGCTGATGATGCGCCTGATGCCACAGAAACCTGTTCTGACACCAAAGGTGTTTCCCTCTGTTTGGCGTCTCTGGCAGAATGTGGGGGGCGGTGGTGGTCGGCATCGGCACCGCCGGCGCCGTGCGGATCAGAGACATGTTGAACCCGTTACCTGGCAACGCCGCAGAGAAGCTGAGCGTCCGAGGATTCATATCCAGGTAGGACGCCACTGATGATGGCAGCAGATCAAAGACACATTATTCAATGAGCGGGGGGGACACCGGGTTTGGGGGCCATTCAAAGACCTGCAGGGCAGAACTTCTTTCTTAGACGGAATAAGAAGATGAATTAAACCGACTTTTTTAAATTACAGCAACGCATTAATTGATAGACCAGCTGTGAGGGATGAACGGGTCACTAACCCAGACCCACAGCCTGCCGGTGCTGCGGAGAACCAGGTCACTTTCCAGTTCAACCAGATCATCCAGTCAGATTGATTCAAAGTTTTCTATCTAAGGAAAACCAGCTGATTGCATCGACTCATTGACTCTTCAGCAATCCCTCACACTAAGCATGCTTGTAGCAACAGTGGAGAGGAAAAACTCCCTTTGAACAGGAAGAAACCTCCAGCAGAACCGCACCGACCCGCCTCGTTCCAAATGGGAAGATATGAGGTTCCCCTTAACGAGCAAGGCTGGTTTTAATGACATCGAATGACCCAGAAGGTTAAAGTGTGGTTAGAGGTCGCGTTTATTCAGTGACTGAAATCAGCAAAAAGGGCTGAATAATAAAGACTGGATAATAAAGACTGAATGATAAAGACTGGATAATAAAGACTGAATGATAAAGACTGAATAATAAAGACTGAATGATAAAGACTGGATAATAAAGACTGAATGATAAAGACTGAATGATAAAGACTGAATGATAAAGACTGGATAATAAAGACTGAATGATAAAGACTGAATAATAAAGACTGAATGATAAAGACTGGATAATAAAGACTGAATGATAAAGACTGAATAATAAAGACTGGATAATAAAGACTGAATGATAAAGACTGGATGATAAAGACTGAATGATAAAGACTGAATAATAAAGACTGGATAATAAAGACTGAATAATAAAGACTGAATAATAAAGACTGAATGATAAAGACTGGATAATAAAGACTGAATAATAAAGACTGAATAATAAAGACTGGATAATAAAGACTGAATGATAAAGACTGGATGATAAAGACTGGATAATAAAGACTGAATAATAAAGACTGAATAATAAAGACTGAATAATAAAGACTGGATAATAAAGACTGAATAATAAAGACTGAATAATAAAGACTGAATAATAAAGACTGAATAATAAAGACTGGATAATAAAGACTGAATAATAAAGACTGGATAATAAAGACTGAATAATAAAGACTGAATAATAAAGACTGGATAATAAAGACTGGATAATAAAGACTGGATAATAAAGACTGAATGATAAAGACTGAATGATAAAGACTGAATAATAAAGACTGGATAATAAAGACTGGATAATAAAGACTGAATAATAAAGACTGAATAATAAAGACTGAATGATAAAGACTGGATAATAAAGACTGAATGATAAAGACTGGATAATAAAGACTGAATGATAAAGACTGAATAATAAAGACTGAATGATAAAGACTGGATAATAAAGACTGAATGATAAAGACTGAATAATAAAGACTGGATAATAAAGACTGAATGATAAAGACTGGATGATAAAGACTGAATGATAAAGACTGAATAATAAAGACTGGATAATAAAGACTGAATAATAAAGACTGAATAATAAAGACTGAATAATAAAGACTGAATGATAAAGACTGGATAATAAAGACTGAATGATAGAGACTGGATAATAAAGACTGAATGATAAAGACTGAATAATAAAGACTGGATAATAAAGACTGAATAATAAAGACTGAATAATAAAGACTGAATAAAGACTGAATGATAAAGACTGGATAATAAAGACTGAATGATAGAGACTGGATAATAAAGACTGAATGATAAAGACTGAATAATAAAGACTGAATAATAAAGACTGAATGATAAAGACTGGATAATAAAGACTGAATGATAAAGACTGAATAATAAAGACTGGATAATAAAGACTGAATGATAAAGACTGGATGATAAAGACTGAATGATAAAGACTGAATAATAAAGACTGGATAATAAAGACTGAATAATAAAGACTGAATAATAAAGACTGAATGATAAAGACTGGATAATAAAGACTGAATAATAAAGACTGAATAATAAAGACTGGATAATAAAGACTGAATGATAAAGACTGGATGATAAAGACTGGATAATAAAGACTGAATAATAAAGACTGAATAATAAAGACTGAATAATAAAGACTGAATAATAAAGACTGGATAATAAAGACTGAATAATAAAGACTGAATAATAAAGACTGAATAATAAAGACTGAATAATAAAGACTGGATAATAAAGACTGGATAATAAAGACTGAATAATAAAGACTGGATAATAAAGACTGAATAATAAAGACTGAATAATAAAGACTGGATAATAAAGACTGGATAATAAAGACTGGATAATAAAGACTGAATAATAAAGACTGAATGATAAAGACTGAATGATAAAGACTGAATAATAAAGACTGGATAATAAAGACTGGATAATAAAGACTGAATAATAAAGACTGAATAATAAAGACTGAATGATAAAGACTGGATAATAAAGACTGAATGATAAAGACTGGATAATAAAGACTGAATGATAAAGACTGAATAATAAAGACTGAATGATAAAGACTGGATAATAAAGACTGAATGATAAAGACTGAATAATAAAGACTGGATAATAAAGACTGAATGATAAAGACTGGATGATAAAGACTGAATGATAAAGACTGAATAATAAAGACTGGATAATAAAGACTGAATAATAAAGACTGAATAATAAAGACTGAATAATAAAGACTGAATGATAAAGACTGGATAATAAAGACTGAATGATAGAGACTGGATAATAAAGACTGAATGATAAAGACTGAATAATAAAGACTGAATGATAAAGACTGGATAATAAAGACTGAATAATAAAGACTGAATAATAAAGACTGAATAATAAAGACTGAATGATAAAGACTGGATAATAAAGACTGAATGATAAAGACTGGATAATAAAGACTGAATGATAAAGACTGAATGATAAAGACTGAATGATAAAGACTGGATAATAAAGACTGAATAATAAAGACTGAATAATAAAGACTGAATAATAAAGACTGAATGATAAAGACTGGATAATAAAGACTGAATAATAAAGACTGGATAATAAAGACTGGATAATAAAGACTGAATAATAAAGACTGGGTAATAATAAAGACTGGATAATAAAGACTGAATAATAAAGACTGAATAATAAAGACTGAATGATAAAGACTGGATAATAAAGACTGAATGATAAAGACTGAATAATAAAGACTGAATGATAAAGACTGGATAATAAAGACTGAATAATAAAGACTGGATAATAAAGACTGAATAATAAAGACTGGATGATAAAGACTGAATAATAAAGACTGAATAATAAAGACTGAATAATAAAGACTGGATAATAAAGACTGGATAATAAAGACTGGATAATAAAGACTGAATAATAAAGACTGAATGATAAAGACTGAATGATAAAGACTGAATAATAAAGACTGGATAATAAAGACTGAATAATAAAGACTGAATAATAAAGACTGAATGATAAAGACTGGATAATAAAGACTGAATGATAAAGACTGGATAATAAAGACTGAATAATAAAGACTGAATAATAAAGACTGAATGATAAAGACTGGATAATAAAGACTGAATGATAAAGACTGGATAATAAAGACTGAATGATAAAGACTGAATAATAAAGACTGAATGATAAAGACTGGATAATAAAGACTGAATGATAAAGACTGAATAATAAAGACTGGATAATAAAGACTGAATGATAAAGACTGGATGATAAAGACTGAATGATAAAGACTGAATAATAAAGACTGGATAATAAAGACTGAATAATAAAGACTGAATAATAAAGACTGAATAATAAAGACTGAATGATAAAGACTGGATAATAAAGACTGAATGATAGAGACTGGATAATAAAGACTGAATGATAAAGACTGAATAATAAAGACTGAATGATAAAGACTGGATAATAAAGACTGAATAATAAAGACTGAATAATAAAGACTGAATAATAAAGACTGAATGATAAAGACTGGATAATAAAGACTGAATGATAAAGACTGGATAATAAAGACTGAATGATAAAGACTGAATGATAAAGACTGAATAATAAAGACTGGATAATAAAGACTGAATAATAAAGACTGAATAATAAAGACTGAATAATAAAGACTGAATGATAAAGACTGGATAATAAAGACTGAATAATAAAGACTGGATAATAAAGATTGGATAATAAAGACTGAATAATAAAGACTGGGTAATAATAAAGACTGGATAATAAAGACTGAATAATAAAGACTGAATAATAAAGACTGGATAATAAAGACTGAATAATAAAGACTGAATAATAAAGACTGAATGATAAAGACTGGATAATAAAGACTGAATGATAGAGACTGGATAATAAAGACTGAATGATAAAGACTGAATAATAAAGACTGAATGATAAAGACTGGATAATAAAGACTGAATAATAAAGACTGAATAATAAAGACTGAATAATAAAGACTGAATGATAAAGACTGGATAATAAAGACTGAATGATAAAGACTGAATGATAAAGACTGGATAATAAAGACTGAATGATAAAGACTGAATGATAAAGACTGGATAATAAAGACTGAATGATAAAGACTGAATGATAAAGACTGAATAATAAAGACTGGATAATAAAGACTGAATAATAAAGACTGAATAATAAAGACTGAATAATAAAGACTGAATAATAAAGACTGAATGATAAAGACTGGATAATAAAGACTGAATAATAAAGACTGGATAATAAAGACTGGATAATAAAGACTGAATAATAAAGACTGGGTAATAATAAAGACTGGATAATAAAGACTGAATAATAAAGACTGAATAATAAAGACTGGATAATAAAGACTGGATAATAAAGACTGGATAATAAAGACTGAATAATAAAGACTGGGTAATAATAAAGACTGGATAATAAAGACTGAATAATAAAGACTGAATAATAAAGACTGAATGATAAAGACTGGATAATAAAGACTGAATGATAAAGACTGAATAATAAAGACTGGATAATAAAGACTGAATAATAAAGACTGAATAATAAAGACTGAATGATAAAGACTGGATAATAAAGACTGAATGATAAAGACTGAATAATAAAGACTGAATGATAAAGACTGGATAATAAAGACTGGATAATAAAGACTGGATAATAAAGACTGGATAATAAAGACTGAATAATAAAGACTGAATAATAAAGACTGAATGATAAAGACTGGATAATAAAGACTGAATGATAAAGACTGGATAATAAAGACTGAATAATAAAGACTGAATGATAAAGACTGAATGATAAAGACTGGATAATAAAGACTGAATGATAAAGACTGGATAATAAAGACTGAATAATAAAGACTGAATGATAAAGACTGGATAATAAAGACTGAATGATAAAGACTGGATAATAAAGACTGAATGATAAAGACTGGATAATAAAGACTGAATAATAAAGACTGAATGATAAAGACTGGATAATAAAGACTGGATAATAAAGACTGGATAATAAAGACTGGATCCCAACACGTGAGTTTGCTCGGCCTCAAACCGCCCTCTTGGTGTTAAACGTTTTGGGGGAGTTTGTGCAGAAATATAAAAGATAAACTCTGCTTCCTAACGTTTGGTTCCACCTGCGGTGGTGGAACCGCATCTTTTAAAAGCGTCTCTGTCCCTTAAAGCCGGTTTGGAGGAAAACCGTCACGCCTGGTTTGTTTCCAACAGGAGGAAGCTGGACAGCCACCAGGATGTGAGCCAGATGTCGGTGGAGGAGGCGCTGAGCAGGGAGGACGTCCACGCTGCCTTCATCTGTACTGAGAACGACTCTCATGAGGAGTTTGTCAGGTGGAGAAGATATTAGATCTGGAGCCCAAACAGCAGATTCAGAACATTCCTGTCCGGATCTCTGGGTTTAACTTTAGATTCACAGAATCTGTTTCTTTGTTTTACTTCAATCGGCCTCCAGATTAATTTTATTCACTTTTATTCTCATTTAGTCGAGAATCTGATATTTGCTCTGATTTAATCATGAAATGCCTAATAAATCCTGAGCTGTGGGCTGCTGGCCACTAGGTGTCTCCATAGCACACCTGATGGAGCTTGGCCATTTAAGGCTTTATATGTGAGGATTTTAAATTCTATTCTGGATTTAACAGGAAGCCACTGAAGAGAAGCCAGGATAGGAGAGATATTTAATTTTCATAGAGGATCTGAATCTAACTGATCATTAAAACCAAGGTTCTGTTTTTAGTCACGTTTGTTCGTCTATTCGTAGAGGATAACTAGAAAAGTAATGAACTGATTTTAGTCAATTTAACAGAATTTTCACCAAAGCTGCTCCTTAGTCCAATGAACTATCCAGAACATTTTGGTGAAGATCTGAATTATAATCTGGATGCAGGGATTTATTGAAGGATTCCTTAACATGATTTGGAATAAACGGCAGTTCCCTCCTGAACCAGAGGGTGGCAGCAGAGACTATTGACAGCATCAGCATCGGACTGAAAAAGTCCAGCAGGGTTAAAGTAAAGACAGAAACAGGAAAGATGAACCTCCGTCTGCTGATGAAAGAAGAAAACGGAGAAACATTTTAGTTTATCAGCAGATCAGATTAATCATCTTTATTAATGTAAAAAACTTAAATGAAATGGATTTATTCCTCTTTAGTTACTTTTCTGCTGTTTGACTTTTTCTTCTCCAAGGAAGTTTTTGCAAGCTGGGAAACACGTGTGTGTGGAGTATCCCATGACGCTGTCCTACCAGGCTGCTGTTGACCTTTGGGATTTGGCCCAGAAAAAAGGTTTATAATCTTATTAACTCCATGTTTAATGAGTCATTTCAAATGTAGCCGCGTCCAATGTGGCATAAATCTACTTTAACGAATCGTGATCGTCGTCTCCCGCTTCCTCTGGGAAGCAGCAGTCTCACCAGAGACTCGCAGACTTCCCTCCATCCAGACTTCTCCTCCTGCTCCTCCCAGGCCAGCTGGAGGCATAGTCCCTCCATGGTGTCCTGGTCCTCCTCCTGGTGGGACGACCCTGACTGAGCTCCTCCCCCTCTCTCTGAGGGAGAGCCCAGCCTCCCTGCAGAGGAAGCCTGGATCCAGGATCTGGTTCTTTGGGTCCTGATTCAGGTTAATGAGCAGAGGTGAGGGGAGGAAGGTAGAGTGACTAAATCAGAGCTTTACCTTTTCTATCTGCTCTCTGAATATGGGGCCAAAATGGTAGCTTTAATATTTGCAAATGTGTGTGGAGAGTTGTGTGTCTGTATCTCGATTTGTGTGTGTGCAGTGGGATTTGAAAATGTGTAAATAAATCTGTAAATGTGTAAAACTACTTGTGTGTAATCCGTTTTGCAAATGTGTAAAAAATCCACAAATCTGTATTCAGATCTGCAAATGTGTACTGAGACTTGCAAATGTGTAGATCAATCTGTAAGCACACACAGAGACACTTGTGTCTGAAGTATTTTCGCTTCAAGACCCAGAAATACAGACAAATCATTGGTTACAAGTCAAGCGGTTTTTCGGTTGGCTCTCTTTACACACGTGATTTTTGCTACTCTTCTGCCGCGTGAGATGCACAAATGCGTAGAAGGATTTGTATGTGTATTTTCGCGATTTGTAACCCCTTGCGCAGGCTCGCAGGCTCACATGCTGCCCTGACCGCAGGCTCGCAGGCTCACAGGCTCACAGACAGCCTCTCTATGCTGCGACAGTTCAGCACATCTTGCTTCACATACAGCCACATACCACCAGTTGGCGGTATTGTACAGTTCGTGACGTTACTGGGGTCCTAGGGGTTGTACCTGCTAAGTTGAGAGCAATGGAATCCCGTCAGCTTTCTGTAAGTATATTTCTTTAATTTTTTCTATAGTTTGCATTAGTAAAACTGTTTCTTCTGCTTCTGTTTTATGGCGGCTGGCAAGCAACTTTATGATGTGCATTACCACCATCTACTTCAGTGGAGTGTGGATCGGGATGCTATGTATTTTCCCACTGAAAAATAAAAATTAATATTTACAATATTTACATAAATAAACTTATATCCTTTCTACCAATTTCTTTTTTTCAAGATTGTTTATCAAATTACAAAAATAATCATAAGTAGATTTTTTTCCCCCAAAATATCTTGTATATTTAACTGTCATTTATTTTCTTGTAACCCTTCTCTCCATAGAATATTTATAACAAAACAACAAAACATGCTCCACCGTCTCCCCTTGATAACAAAAACCACAACCTCCTGTTCCCATTCTAAATAAGTTTCCATTTAACCCCATGTTTCCGAAACTTAATCTAGATATAACCTCTTTTTTATTCCTTTCCGTTCTCCTCATTTCACCAATCTTCCTTTGAATACTATAAAGCCAACTTCCAGTTCTATGCTCTTCCCACAGCTTCTGCCATCTTTCCGTAACCTTTTGTTTAATAATAGATTAAATTTTTTCCTTACTGAATGGTATCAATATATCATCCTTGTCACGTCAACTCCCGCAGCGGAGGAAAAAAAAAGGTAGAGGCTGTCTGTGAGCCTGCGAGCCTGCGGTCAGGGCAGCATGTGAGCCTGCGAGCCTCAGGTCAGGGCAGCATGTGAGCCTGCGCAAGGGGTTACAAATCGCGAAAATACACATACAAATCCTTCTACGCATTTGTGCATCTCACGCGGCAGAAGAGTAGCAAAAATCACGTGTGTAAAGAGAGCCAACCGAAAAACCGCTTGACTTGTAACCAATGATTTGTCTGTATTTCTGGGTCTTAAAGCGAAAATACTTCAGACACAAGTGTCTCTGTGTGTGCTTACAGATTGATCTACACATTTGCAAAACGGATTACACACAAGTAGTTTTACACATTTACAGATTTATTTACACATTTTCAAATCCCACTGCACACACACATTTGCTAATATTAAAGCTACCATTTTGGCCCCATATCTGAACCACAGCAGATGGAGCAGAACCGACCCGTCTATAGATCCATCTATAGATCCGCCTATAGATCCGTCTATAGATCCGTCTATAGATCCGTCTATAGATCCGTCTATAGATCCGTCTATAGATCCGTCTATAGATCCGTCTATAGATCCGTCTATAGATCCGCCTATAGATCCGTCTATAGATCCGTCTATAGATCCGTCTGTAGATCCGTCTGTAGATCCGTCTATAGATCCGTCTGTAGATCCATCTATAGATCCATCTATAGATCCGTCTATAGATCCGTCTATAGATCCGTCTGTAGATCCGTCTATAGATCCGTCTGTAGATCCGTCTGTAGATCCGCCTATAGATCCGTCTATAGATCCGTCTATAGATCCGTCTATAGATCCGTCTGTAGATCCATCTATAGATCCGTCTATAGATCCGTCTGTAGACCCGTCTATAGATCCGCCTATAGATCCGTCTATAGATCCGTCTATAGATCCGTCTGTAGATCCGTCTGTAGATCCGTCTGTAGATCCGCCTATAGATCCGTCTATAGATCCGTCTATAGATCCGTCTGTAGATCCATCTATAGATCCATCTATAGATCCGTCTATAGATCCGTCTATAGATCCGTCTGTAGATCCGTCTATAGATCCGTCTGTAGATCCGTCTGTAGATCCGTCTTTAGATCCGTCTATAGATCCGTCTATAGATCCGTCTATAGATCCGTCTGTAGATCCATCTATAGATCCGTCTATAGATCCGTCTATAGATCCGTCTATAGCTCCGTCTGTAGATCCGTCTATAGATCCGTCTATAGATCCATCTATAGATCCGTCTATAGATCCGTCTATAGATCCATCTATAGATCCGTCTATAGATCCGTCTGTAGATTCATCTATAGATCCGTCTATAGATCCGTCTATAGATCCGTCTGTAGATCCATCTATAGATCCGTCTATAGATCCGTCTATAGATCCGTCTGTAGATCCATCTATAGATCCATCTATAGATCCGTCTATAGATCCGTCTATAGATCCATCTATAGATCCGTCTATAGATCCGTCTGTAGATTCATCTATAGATCCGTCTATAGATCCGTCTATAGATCCGTCTATAGATCCATCTATAGATCCGTCTATAGATCCATCTATAGATCCGTCTATAGATCCGTCTGTAGATTCATCTATAGATCCGTCTATAGATCCGTCTATAGATCCGTCTGTAGATCCATCTATAGATCCGTCTATAGATCCGTCTATAGATCCGTCTGTAGATCCATCTATAGATCCGTCTATAGATCCGTCTGTAGATCCGTCTATAGATCCGTCTATAGATCCGTCTGTAGATCCATCTATAGATCCGTCTATAGATCCGTCTATAGATCCGTCTGTAGATCCATCTATAGCTCCGTCTGTAGATCCATCTATAGATCCGTCTATAGATCCGTCTATAGCTCCGTCTGTAGATCCGTCTATAGATCCGTCTATAGATCCGTCTAACTCTCAGAGCTCCCAGAGCTCAGAGCAGCTGCTTGACATTCTGCTTCAAACCGCCCCGGTTCATGATGTCGGTCTCAGCCTGCAGGATCACGCCATCCTCAGAACGCAGGAAGATCCACAAACCAGAACTACTGATCCTAGAAAAGTTCTGAACAGGACTGGAGAGGCAGGGAGGCCCTCTTACAGTCTGGCACGCACAGGGAACAGGTCCGACTCAATGCCGGCAATATAGAGCAAACTCTAGTTCTGTTGCACAGAGACCAGACGGCCCTCCTCCTCCCCCATTCCACCTTCCCAGAGCCAATAAGGCTCCATGGATCAGGTTCGCCTCTGACTGCTGCCCCATCCAGGGATCCCCCTGCGGGTGCTGAGCCCCCTGGTGGATGACCTTGCCTTGCTCCTTCAGGATGGGCCCCGCTATGAGGAAGAGCTCCAGGTTGGGCTCCCAGCTCTACCCTACTGGGCCAACCAGATCATGTTTGCCTGGTTGACCCTATCAGGGTGATTTAAACCTCTGGGGTCATCCGGGCTTTGAAACCCGTCCACCATGTTGGGTTCAAAGAGGGGGGTGGGTGCCTCCAAACACGCCGACTCTAAATGTGTCATAAATCCACTCCAACAAATTATCTAAGAAATGAAAAATGTAAACTTTTGTTTTTGGGACAGAAAACTAATGACTGCTTATATTCCTAAACAGTGAAGATAGTTGTAGAACATATAGATTGGTTTTCTGTTTATCTGTAGGAGTGGTTCTACATGAGGAGCACATTGAGCTGCTGACAGAAGATTACAAACAGCTGAAGAAAGAAGTGGAGGGAAAAACTCTGCTGGAAGGTTCTCTTCACTTCACTGGTAAGAAGCAACTTATTGAACTTGGTTTTAAATCCAGCAGTTTAGCTTTGCAGGACAAAGACTCATTTTAAGTGTTGGACCAGGATTGGTTCTGTTTTCCTTAAGGCCGGCACCAAATACCCTCTATCAGAATATATATATATAGTGTATATATAATCATTCTATGACTCCTTTAAGCAGAGGTTTAATTCCAGCAACCTTAAAAGCTTTAGGTACATATCCCTGTAACAGAGATAGATTAATCACATCTAGAATGGAGGAGGAGATCAAAGGGAATACCTCCTTAAATAACCTGGTTGGAACTGGATCTAACATCCAATTGAAGGCTTAGATGAAGACAATAGTTTTGCTAACTGTGAAAGTTCAACTGGATCAAAGCAGTCTAAACCCGGTTCAGATTCCATGACTACCTCAGATGCTCAGCGACACAGAGGAGAGAGAAAGTGAAGCAGATTCTTTAAAATTTATAACTGCACTATCTGATAAAGATCTACTAAAATGTAACCTCCTTTTGGGGGAGGAGAACTCTGTTAAATAGTCCTGAAGGTTATTAGAAAGTGGTCAGAGAGGACAGGGTTGTAAGGAAATACTGTTATTTCTTCACATTCTATGCCGTATGTCAGCACAAGATCCAAAGTATGAAGATGAGAATGCGTGGGACTATTCACATTTTGAACAAAGCCAATAGTGTCTAAGATAGCATTAAAGGCTGCTCTTAAGCTATCGCCTTCAATGTCAGCATGGATGTTAAAATCTCCCACTATGATGACCCTGTCAGTATTTAATACCAAATCAGAAAGGAACTCTGAAAACTCATCTAAAAATTCAGAGTAAGGACCTGGTGGACGATACAAAGTTACAAAAAGAAGAGGTTTTCTTGCCTTGAAATTTGGATCAGGGAAATTAAGGGTTAAATGTTCAAAAGAGTTGTAGGTATTAACTGTTTTGGGAGTAATCAGTAAGTCAGACTGGAAGATTGTTGCTACTCCTCCTCCTCGCCCAGAACTTCTGGGGATGTGAAAATTTAAATAGCTTGAAGGAGTTGCCTCATTTATGCTCACATAATCCTCTTGCTGCAGCCAGGTTTCTGTAAGGCAAAACAAGTCAATGTGATTATCACAAATCAAGTCATTAACTAGTAGACTTTTAGAGGAAAGCGATCTTATGTTAAACAGACCGCATTTAATTGTTTTAACTTTTTCCCTAATTTGAGTTATTTTGATTTTAATTAGATTATCATGATTTACTCCTTTGGGAATCTTTGCTAATTTATTAGATTTTGGTCGTGGGCAAGACACTGTCTGGATGGAGTAAAGAGTGGGTAACAGTAGAGAAGCTGCAGAGAGGTCTGTTAAACTAGGACTCTGCTTCCTGGTCTGCACCCTGGGGGGTCAGGGTTTTGGAGGACTAATAAATGTGGCCAGATTCCTAGAAAGAAGAGCTGCACCATCCAAAGTGGGATGGATGCCGTCTCTCCGAATCAGACCAGGCTTTCCCCAGAAGGATTGCCAATTATTAATGTAGCCCACGTTGTTTAGGGCCTCAAATCTTCCAAAGAAGTTGTTTAGTCCATCAGCTGCATCTACCGGGGTGTGTGTGTGTGTGTGATGTGGTCTGTAGCTGCTTAGTGAAGGTGATCCGGTAAATTCCCTGATTCTAACCAGAGTCCTGTTCTGATCCAGGCGGCGCTCTGAAACCTGGGTTTGGTTTCCTAGCATTCAGTGGAATCGCTCGCCTCTGTTGGCTGGTGGACCTGTTCGGCGAGCTTTCAGTCACGGCAGCGACCTTTGAGCAGGACGCTGACAGAGGCTACACCAAGATGACGGCGCAGCTGCTAACCTCTGATAGCAGGTTGGACATAACTCTGCACCCCCCCCCCCCCCCCCCCTCCATGCACCATCTATCATTAACAGCCTGATTCTGACACATTCAAAAACAAGAAGAGACCTTTAACTGAATTAATTTGATTTGCTGCTGCAAACTGGCTCCATTTTTCTAGAAAATCTCAGCTAGACCATAAAGTCCAGAGCAACATGCTGTCCTTTAGTCCCGCCTTCCTGGATTCCTTCTCCTGTCAGGCATCTTTAAATAAAACCTGCAGCATCAAACATATCAAATATAAACGGAGCAGCAGGCTAGCTGTTAGCGGCTAAAACGCTAAAATCAGCTCAGTCAGGTTCTTTAGTTCAGGTTTATGCTTTGAAGGCAGCAATGACTTCCTGCAGGTTAATTAGTAATAAGTTTCTATTTAGTTTCATGAGTTTCTTAAAATGAGTGCATTTTGTGTTGAATTGAGGAAGTGAGACACTTTGCAGGTAGAACAAGACAATTTATTTAAAATAGGAAAAAATAAAACAATAAAACACTTATTTCAAGTCCATAAAGTCTTAATTATCTTTAATAAGTCATTCCATTGATCTTCATCTTTATCTATTTTTTTACTCATTTCAGGATAATTTTTGCAGAGCTGCAGCTAAAGATAAAAACCTGATGGAAATGTTCAGGCCGTTATTTTCAGCTCCTTTAGGATCAGATACCAGTTTTATATAAATTATAAATCCCAGAGACCTAAAACTGAGGTTTCCTGTGTTTTGTCAGGTGTTTGACGTGGGTGGAGGAGCGGCAGGCGGGCCTTCCAAGGACCAAGAAGATCAACTTTGTTTTTGACGGCTTGGTTCTGACCCAGATTCCTCCTGCACCCAGTGGGACCGTTGGACTCTTTATGCAGGATCTGGTCCTCTTCTCCTCCAAGCTGTCGGGGGGAGTGAGTCCTGAGGAGCTGGACCGAGAGAAGACCAGGATCCTGCACTGCTTCGAGCTGGCAGAGCGGATCCAGCAGCTCAGTCACATTTAGACGCTCCTGCTGTCAATCAGCTGTTTTCTGCTCGTTCTATTAAACCTTCTTCCTGCAGCCCTCCTTCAGTTGTTCTTCTTTCATTGTCATCGGTCTGCATCATTAAAGCTCCCAAAATCCAGCTGAACTGATCCTGAACCTGGGAACCTATAAAGGGGCGGGATCAAGCTAGCGGACCAATCAGAACCAGGAGAGCTGAAGGCAGAGCACCGTATTTCAAAGTCCTCTGAATGAAAAACAAAGAGGAAAACATGGTGGCAGCAGGAAAGAGACGCCAAATATCGCGGCAAAGGATTGCTGACTGCGTTAATGAGCAAGTTAAACATCAGAGGCTTTGAATGTTTCAAGAAGCCAGTTTAAAAAACTCAGATTAAATCCTCATCTCTAAATAGATCTGTCCTCCGGTCGGGAACTTTTCAGTTTCCTAAAAGCTGCGATCAGTTCGTTCAATCAGCTCCAAGTAGTTAAACACGTCCTTAATAGGTACGGAAAGCCATCATCAGTGGAGCACAGATACTACGAGTCACCATGACAACAGGCAACAGGAAGTGCCTGTTCACCCGACAGGAACGAGAGATTTTAATAAAGGAAGTAAAAAAAAAAGGAGAATGTGTTTAAATGACAGAGAATCAGGCTGGAGCTGCAAAGGAGAGGAAGATGGAGATCGATGCTCCACTCTGGCAAGCCGTTTATTACATTTATTCAAAGCACTGGGATTTTATTTCAGTATAATATGAGAAATTCTGACTTTAATCTCAGAATTGTGGATCTTAATGCTGATGGTCTCCATGAAGGCAGAGATGTGGAGAACTCAGCTTCAGGTGTTTGGGAGAAACAGGAACACATTGGTGGAAAATGATGGAATTAGGAGAGTTTTTCCGTCCCTGCTGATGCTGTTTGATTAATGGAAGAGCAGAAGGAGATTAAAACCAGAGAGATAGACTCTGAAACAGACACGGCTACGGCTGGATGCTAACATGTTGGTTAGCTGTCAGAATTCTGAAAAAAAAAGTCAGAATTCAGATTTTTTTTCTCATGCTAAAATAAAATGTAAAAATCAGAAACTTTTTTTTTTTTTTTCCAGTGGCCCTAATCCTCTCCTGGATTGTTGTTCCATTTATAGAAAACTAAAATAGGAATCACACTAGACTGAACTGTCATAATAGATTTTCTAAATTACATTAAAACTGCATTTTAAAAAGTAAAAAAAAACTAAGTAATTCTGGTAAGAATGAAGTTTAACTAGAAAGTGGCAGTTTTAACATTTATCAGCTTGACTGAATATTTATATCTGAAATAAATTTCTTCAAATTCAAAATAAAACAAATGATGTTTAAAGTTCTTAAATGTGATCTTCTATCAAAGGACACGTCATCGTTTCCTAACAGCTGATTGGCTGTTTTCTAGGATTCAGATCACCTTCTTCTCAGGTGATGAAACACTGCAGGAGATGGAGGACAGCGCCCTCTGCTGGTCAGCCCTGTGAACGGCTCACATGTCTTCGCTCTTTAGTGAGAAAAAGAGAAACTGACAGCAGCAGATTGATGCTCTGCTTTATTCTCTGATCGATCCGTTAATGAACAGAGCAGCTCTGCACCTTTAATAATAAATTATAGATTATAGATTATTTCCACCAACAACAGGAAGTCAGCAGAAATGAACAATGTTAGAATGTAGCCAGAATTTCATAAAACCATTTTGTATGACATCAGACATCATCGTCATGGAAACACGCTGTTAGGTTTATAGTTTAACCAACATGTTAGCATTTTAGCATTTTAGCTCTTTGGGAAATAAACGTAACTTTAGAAGGAAAATAAGTTTATTAGGACTGCATGGTGCTGCCTTGCAGAAAGAAGGTTCTGAGTTCGATTCCCAGCATGGAGTTAGCATGTTCTCCCTGAGCATGCGTGGGTTCTCTCTGGGTACTCCTGCTTCCTCCCACAGTCCAAAAACGTGACTGTTAGATTATTGGCTTCTCTAAATCCTCCTTAGGTGTGAATGTCCTGTTTGTCTCTGTGTTGACCTGCGATGGACTGGAGACCTGTCCAGGGTGGACCCCTCCTCTCTGTCCCCTCGCCACCCCACTACCACCCTGACAGGGACAAAGCAGGAGAAGACGGATAGATTATTAAACCAGTTTTAGTTCAGAAGTGAATCTTTTCATTGAGCTCATTTTTAAAAAGCTCCAGCTTCTGTTTTTCCTCATAAATGTCCTCTTTCGTCCACAGAGCCGGCCTTAGTAACAGGGTCCTCCTTATCTCCTGCTGGATTCTCCTGGTGGCGTCTCCTTGTGTGCACCTCCTTAATGACCTCCAGCTCTTGTTTTCACTCTTGGTCTCACCTGGGTCTGAAGCCCGCTTTATTATTGGACTCAGGTGTGTGGAAGCAGAGCCATCTAGAAATGAAGCTCTACGCCTTCTCAGCCAGATTTCACCTGCAATATGTTGCTTTTGATAGCAGATTCTGCCTGCTGAAATAGACAGGGAAGCTCTCATTAACAGCTGACCCCTGACCTCCTCCTCCATGGGGAGGGGCTAACAGCTGACCCCTGACCTCCTCCTCCCAGGGGAGGGGCTAACAGCTGACCCCTGACCTCCTCCTCCCAGGGGGGAGGGGCCTCTGAGGATCTGCAGCGTCTCTAACAGCCAGATTAGTTTAGTTTTCACTTTTTAATTTTTGTTATCATCTTTCATGCCTGCAGCTGCAACATCTGGTTGATGCAGCAACTTGGTGTTTCCCAGTAGAGCAGAAAGAGGTGAGCTAGTAGCTTCCTAATTAGTATTATCTCTGTTAAAAGCTTCCAAACTCCTTCCTGGGCCCCAAACCTGTAGGAGTTTCTGTTACTGAAGAGCTTGAAATGAGAAAAAAGGCCACCGGCTTTCAGTGTCATCTGGCCTGCATGAGGCAACCTTTGGGCCGCAGACTGTTGCTCCACCAACGGGAACATTTACAGCAATCTGATGGAACATTGCCCTCGGGCAGGCAACCCACAAACCGCAGAAATAAAGTCAATCTGCTCAACCAGATGCTCTGCAGATCATAATCAGAGGAGATATCTGCTAATAGTGGGATCCATCTCTTCTGATGACATCATACCCCCCCCCCCCCCCCATCATAGACCCTCTACAGTAATATTTCACTTTCTCTGGACTTTCAACCATGATTGTGGGTTTTAATGAAGCTTTATCCTTTGAGATTCCTGAGGGTTAGTTAGGGTTTTATGTTATGTTTAATAATCATGTCAGCGTTTGATAATTAGAAAAAATTATTTGGATTTATTTGTTAAAATGGTTTAATTTAGCAGAAATGCAGCTTAAGCCTTAATTCAATCTGTGAGACTCTTACTTCTGCCGGGACCCGAGTTCCAAAATGACCTGTTTCATTTATCTTTTTATCTGCTTCTGTCTCCTTGAACCCGAGTCGGCCTCAGCAGACGGCCGCTCCCTCTGAGCCTGGTTCTAATGGAGGATTCTTCCTGTTCAAAGGGAGTTTTTCCTCTCCACTGTCGCTACAAGCATGCTTAGTGTGAGAACATCTAGAAACAAAGGTGTTGATGGCAGCAGCACAGCTGATATTTCTCTCCAGGATGGAGTCACAGCCAAACAGGAACAGACCAGATGAAGCTACTATGAGGAAAAGCAGAGAGAGCAGAACGTTAGAGATTGAACTAACAGATTCTGCAGAGTGGGAGAATAGAGATAGAATGAAGCAGAATGATGAAAAAGGGGTCCCTATGTCCTCCAGCAGTCTAAGCCTATAGCAGCAGAACTATAAGACTGAACATTTTAGTCTTCATCTATTCCATCTTAACTTTTGGTTTTAGATTTAATCATATTTTTCTGTTCTGCACTTCAGAGTAACTGTAGATGAAAAAATGTAAGAAGTTCCCCGAATGAATCAATAAATGCTTCTTCCTCACTGATCAAACTGACTTTATCTGCTATATAATATAGAATAGTAAAACCACCTTTAAGGGCAGGCGGAGCGTTTATTCGTGTCGCATTTCAAAGTGTTTTATGTGTTGAACTTGTGGCTTGCTAATATCTGTCTTTATGGCATCAGCCGTAGAGCAAACACGTTCTCGGCAGGAAGTTAATTACAAACTGCAGTCAGGGTCTAATAAAAAGACAGACTGATAGGGTATAAAACTGGAAGCTTAGACACCGGGAAAAGTGACACGTTTCCATCCTGAAGCGCTGGATAAATAAAAACTCATTGTGTTCAGTCACTGTCCAGAAGGTCTCATTAACCTCTGCTGTAACACTCCTCCATGGGTGTCAACTGATTTAATTAAAAAGTTCAGTCACATAAGGTCCTACATGCAGACACAGCTTGCTTTAATTAGGCCTTATCATCACACACAGTTTAATACTTTATTGTTTCTGCCCTGTTTGGGTGATATCAGATCCAGCAGAGAAGAATGTGTGTGTGTGTGTGTGTGGGGGGGGGGGGGGTGGGTGTACAGGCGATGGAAGCTAAAACGTTCCTAAATGAACGACTCAATTCTTCACATTTAATGTCTGAAGTTTAGGAATTAAATCGTTTCGTCAGATCGGCAGATGAGACATAGTTTAGTTTCTTTCAGTGGCGGTTCTAGACCAAATGTACCAGGGGGGCCAGGAGGGGGCCAGCGTGTTTTCATGGGGGCCCAGAAAAGCATGAAATAAAAAAACAGGCCAAGGGATTCAAATAAGTTAAGATAGCTGCATGAAGTCAAATTTCTATTCAATTAGGTTTAATTAAAATTCTAAATGTCTTAATAGATCAATATACATTCAGAATTTAGGAATTTTACTTTTTTTTTTACTTAATTTAAGTTGAATCACAGTTTTCTATAAAATCTAAATTAGAATTTAAGAAAAACTGTTAAAATTAGCTGTAAAAAGTAGAGTATTTTTTTACATTTGTTTTGGGGAAAAAATTTAGCAGATGAAAACTGGGATCCTATCTCAATACCACTTATGATATATTTAAACAGTTAATACAACAGAATTAGTAAAGAAAACAATAAAATAGATCCAAAGGATCTATTGACCAATTTCTTTAAGTATTACGTCTTC